TAAGTTTTGGTTCTTATGATTGAGTCAATCTTCGTTGATCACCATTACAATTACCGTATTAATTAAATGAGTTTATGTTTTTTCTAATCGAAGAGCTGTGTTAGTTAACTCTATTTGGGAGTGTTTGGTTTCCCGTTTTCAAAACGGGCGGGTAAGGTTTGTTAAGACAAACCTTTTGCTTGTTTCACAGTTTATAAATCCAAGTTTACTATAGTAAATACTATTCCACCCAGGTTTGTTACCGTAAATACTATTTCACTCTTCATGTTGCTACAGTGTATATTTTGTCTTTATTCTCTCCCCTAATTAAAATGAATTTATTTTTTTAATTAAATATATTAAATAAATGAGAAACTTAATTAATTATAATTATAATTATAAATAAGGAAATCAATTTATTAAAATGACATGTAACAAATAATTAATTCACATATTGACACTTTTTTATCTAGTTTTTTTTAAAATGATCCAAGAATAATGTAATTTTTTTTTTGTTTTTGTAATCTATTTCTAGCCCTTTTTTTTTCATTTTGTTGTTGACGATAAACCATACCAAATGTATCTTGAAATGTATCTTGAAGAAGGTCTACAAAATGTAAGTATTCTGTATTTTGTGAAAATGTAAAAGTCATTTGCATAATTAATGAAAGACATTATAATTTTGTATAATTATTTATTTTAATTTTATATCTTCTTTTTAACTTAATAGTTTTTAAACAATTATTATTTGAAAGGTTTTCACTTTGTAATAAAATGTAATTGTCAAATAAAACTAAGTAAAATTTAATAGTAATGTTGATGATAATTAAGTAATAATTTTTTAGAATAATTAAGTAATCAAATTTACTTAAGATAGTAAATAGTGAAAAATTAAATAAATGGTTGATAACACTTTCTCTATGGTAAAATTTATGTCGAATGAATTTGTATACTCTTGATTAAACTTTGATAAATGTTTTAAAAGTATTTTCATAGATAATTGAATATTTATTTTAGAAATTAATCATTGGAAAAAAAATTGGATGGATAAATATATTAAAAATATTTTATATATCCTTAAAATAGTAAGAAAATTGACTTTTGAAAAATAATTTAAATGTAATTTAAATAATTAGTTTATAAATTATATTTTTTTTAAAAAAATTAAAACTTAACCAATCGAACACAAGTTTAATAAAATCAGTTTAACAAAATACAAAACACAGACTTAACACCAAACAAACATAGACTTAACTCAGACTTAATAAACCTATTTCCTGCACCAACCAAATACAGGCTTAACAAACTCAGACTTAATAAACCAAGGCAAACATTTAGACAAAATAACATAAAATAAAATATAAGAGGATTTTTTTGGTGTGTGAAACACAATTTAGAGTTGATTTATGAGGTTTTTCACCAAAACTATAAGGACGAAATTAAAACTAAGACTAAACCAAAGGAACCAAATTAAAACTAAGTCCAATCCATAACAAGTTAATCAAAATTTCTAAAACTACAGAGAAAGTATACCTAAAATATAGGAACCAAACTTATAAATTAACCTAAAACTAATTTTGACTAAGTTCACGCAATGTTGGCACTAATTAATAGACATGACAAGTTAACATTTAGCGGTAGAGATAAAAAAGAAGTTGGAGGGAGTAAATTTATGATTTAACTCAAAAAGTAAAATGAAAATTTATCCCATGATGTGAATTTAGTAATTAGATGTTTGAAAAATTTATGTCACTATAATTGACCGACCATGATGGATGTTGTCTTCACAAAATTTGTCATCTTTTTGGAACATTTTATTTTGGTATATGAGATGGTCAAAATCAGTTGGCCCTTATAAAGCCAAGTCTTGCACTTAGATTTATGCATCTAAAATTACTCACCTCCAACTTCATATGATTTTAACTTTAAAATTCTATTTTATCCTTTAGTGTATATTTGCTTTGAATTACTCTCAGCTTATGCTATAATTAGATTTTAGGACTCAGTTTAGTAATGTTGGTGTTTCTAATTTTTTTTTTCGTTTTCTGATTTTTGTTTCACGTTTTTTGTTTTCGATAAAAAAAAAACGTAATTGCGGTTGGTAATTGTTTCTTGCACTTTTTTTTTTATTGAAAAAAGAAACATAAACATATTTGGTAATCGTGTTTTGTTTCTTGTTCTCTCAAATTTTAAATTAGAAAAGGTAAAAGTTCCGGCTGAAAATTAAAGTTTCAAATTAAATATTCAAAATTTTATGTTATATTTATTATGTATTTTATAACAAAAAAATTATAAAATAATGTTTTTATCTTGGAAAAGCTAAAAATAAGAAATTTGATTACGTTGTTTTTCAAATTTCTACGCAATTTTAGAAATGTTTCTTAAAAATGAGAAACTAGAAACAGAAACAATTATCAAACATTTATGGTTCTAAAAAAAAGAATTAAAATGATAAACAAAAAATAAGAAACAAAAACGTCACCAAACGAGTCATGAATTTTCAATTTTATATTACTTTGGTCTTGAAACATTTAGGTTAAGGTCCTATTAAATACAAAATTGAAAGTCGGTGTAACTACTGGACCTTTTAATCTTTAGAATGGTTAATTTTAGTTCCCAAACTTTAAAAATTACTATTTTAATCTTTCCTAATATCTTGCTATCTAATCCGTCCAATACTCACGTTAGCATAACCCTCGATACATGTTTCCATCAACATGTCCGTATCCAGGATTTAAATACTATTTTAGTTCATGTACTTTCAGTTTTTGTTTTTGTTTGTTGGTCTATGTACTTTCAAAATATCTATTTTAATATATGTATTTTCAGCTTTTGTCCATTTTGATATCTATACTTTCAAAACGTTCATTTGGGTCCTTGTATTTTTAAAATGTTCAAAACATTCTTTTTTTGTTTAATTTTTTTTAATTACAATTTCAACACGGCACTACACTCAATAAATTTCTTGAAATATAGTCATATCTTTATATTAAACGGTTTCATTATGTATAGATATTGTGTTAAAATTTTGTAAATATGGACTAAAATGGTCCTTTCCAAAAGTGCATAGACCAATTGATATTTTGAAAGTACGAGAATTAAACTAAACAAAAGTTAAAACTATAGGAACCAAAATGATCCATTTGAAACTACAAGGATCAAAATGAACCAAAGCTAAAAATCCAATCACCAAAATATAATATTTAAACTTATATTCAAAGTCACGTTATCCACGTGTTCAATAATTAATATCAAAATATGACATGGCGGACTCGTTGAAGTCATAAATTATAATCAATTGGGCATGTCCAAACTCTACTTTGAACTTTAACCTAGGTGCAAGAATTAGGTTAAATTTTCATGGAAATAATTACCCTATTGTGGATTGTCTTTCTCAGGAAAAAAGAAAGAAGTTGAAACCCACACATCACTTTTTTTTCTTTTTTTTCTTTTTTTGTGGTTTGAGATGCCATTCTTTGGGCAATTTTTTTGGGATTAGCCAAAGGAAGAATCAAAGTTTGGGGGGAAAGTGATGGATGTAAGTTCCACTCCACAATAAATAGGAGAAGACACACCCACCAATTGTTGAGCTTCCAATAAAGCAAGAATCTATAACCCAACCCAAGTCCTCTTTTTTTTTTTTTTTTTGCTTTTTTCTTTGGGGGTAAAATGGACCTTTACCATTATCCTTTGTTATTATGCATGTGTGTCACATCTAACATTGAAATATGAGATATTCTCCCTTTTTTTGTTTTGGCCCTTTGAAACTTCTCTAAGTTTTGTTATGGCTCTTTGGACATCAAGGTCTTTCTTTATGTTTCTTACTTTATTCAACTTATTAATGGAATCTTAACTTCTATCAAAAACCACTCTAATCTTCTCTTTCTCACACGCCCAACAAAATCATAGGGGCTATAACGAAAGTTTTAAATATGTTGCGTTGAGTTTGTAAGGGGAATGCAAACAACGTCCCAATACCACATTGGTTAGGAAAGAGCATGATCCATGGTATATAGATGAAGACAATTATCTCTATTTGTATGAGACCTTTTGGGTGAAACCAAAAGCAAATTCGTGAGAGTTATGCTGGACCGCCGACGAATAATACCAAATAATAAATAAATAAGTAAGCTTAAAAAGGTCAAAACTTCTACTACATAGAGTTATCCCAATTGCTAACTAGATAGCTAAGCTATAAAAGCACTTTTGAAAAGAATTGGAATAGCCATATCATAAGAGGGCTAGTTTTTGGTGGTAATGATTTTGGATATTGAGGACCCAAAATGGGTGGTGGTTCAAAGTTATTTGAACCAACAAAGAAAGGAAACAAAGAAGGAAAAAAAAAAGAGAAAAAGATTCCAATTTGGAAGATAGATAGTGAATGCAAATAGAATGGTCACTATATGTGCCATGTGCTTGATAGCTAAACTTAGTTCTTTGAAATATCCTAAGGTTAGTTAAAGGGGATAGATTTCCCATCCCTTTCACAAATAGAATCTAATAATGCCTATGTTGAACCAAAATATCTTGCTTTTGAGTTTCTTCTTCATAGATAAAAGTGAAATAGAAATGCAATATTACAAGCGAGTTGATTGATGCGACTTCTAAAATTAAGATTTTACAGAAAAACTAAAAACTCGTTTGATAATATTTCTATTTTTTTTTCACTCAAAATTACATTTGATAAACTATTCCTAGTTTTCGCTTTCTTTTTTTTTTTATTAAAAAAAGAAATAGAAACATATTTCGCAACCATTTCTTCTTTCTCACCCTCTATAATTACAACTTTAAAAAAATTATATTAAATATTTGACATTTTTATGTTACATTTATTTTTTAATATTTATTATAAATTTTACAAGTCAATTATGATAAAATAATATTTTTATTTATGACAAGAAATAAAAAAATTCATTTATTTCCAACATGATTAATGTTTCTTAAAAGTCAGAAACGAGATATAATTATCAAAATACTTATTTTTTCAAAAATTAAAAATAAGAAACAGAAACATTCCCAAGTAGGCTGCGAAATTCAGTTTTTTTCTTCGTGGACAAACTTCACGGAATTGAGTAAGTTTGGCATAGCTTCAATATATCAGACAAAGGAACCTGAACTATTTGGCATTTTGGCTTTAAAAATGAAATGGGGGTGAAAAAGAGTCATCCAAAGTACATCAAATTCAAGGTTGAGATCATAAAGACTACCCTAAAACTTAAGGGACAATGGACCTGTATATACAAACTGAAACACAAATGCTTGCTTGTTCTACTGATATATAATTTAGAATGTGACCCTGCTTCAGTTTTGCAGTTCAGCCACTTGTAGGCTTGAAGGACATGCAGATGGGTGGATTGATCCTTAAAATAGAAAGCACAGCTGATGGGATCGTCCATATTCCATCGCCACATATCAAACCCGAAGCAACTGCTCCAGCGTAATCCTCTGCATCCTTCCGATTAATCCGCTCCCATACAAACAGGATAACGGTCCCAACAAACATATCGATGGCAAAGTAAGCTCCGATATAGAAAGGTACAGCCATGGCCATTGGAATCGGGATGAATGGTGATATCTTCTTTGGACCGATGTCTCTTAAAAGGTTCACGAGGAAAGCTGCAATAAAGAAACCACAACACATGGCTAGACAATACTTGGGAAGCTCTGAGAAGCCCTGAACTCCTAGAATGGCCATTTCTCTGAATATCACGGCGTACGGGGCTTTGTATGGACTATCAGGTAAACCGACGTCGAAAGCGCTCCAAAATAACCAGAATGTAAGGGGGGCAATCACACAGCCCATGGCTGTCCCTACTAGCTGGCTTATAAACATGGACTTGGCTGAAGAAAGAGTAAGATAACCCGTCTTGAAGTCTTGCATGAGATCAGCGGCCGTAGAAACAATGGACATCATAACACCGCAAGCTGCTAATCCTGCAATAACCCCGCCATTGTTTCCGACTAGAGAAGCAAATAGAAAAAGACCAATCTTCCCATAAGTAGACGATAAATTCCAGTCAGTAAGGCCAGTGCCATAGGAGTTGCAGAATGCAAGGGCAGGGGCGACAATGTACGCGCCAAGAACCAGATACCACTTCAGGGGTGGGAAGATTATCGGAATTGTCGCTATTGATATCGCTGCTAGGCCAACATATCCCGAGGCTGCAAACCATGACGGTATTCTGTCTTTGAGAAATACCTCGTCCTTCCTTTTCTGCTCCGCTAGCAATTTAGAACTCTCACCATCTGCGAACATATAGACATCACAACAGTTCATGACCATCATATCCAGTTTCGCTGCAAAGTATTCTAAATGCAAGTTTTTCATAAAACGTATTGATTTGATGTCAAATTGAAACATCTAGAATCACAAAACAGAATGCCTACAACACCATGTTCCCACAAATATTCAAGTTATTCTGCCTTCATACAAGTCATATGGCTATTTTATAAATTAATCTTGATCAAACTTCCTCAAATAAGAAGATTATGGATTTAGACAAATCATTTGATAAGCCATGAAATACTTCAGAAATGTCACTTAAATGAATTCTATACTCAAACACGAGATCATTAATTAAGATCTCATTTGATAACGTTCTCGTTTCTTGTTTTTTATCTCATGCTTCTTGTTTTCTTTTTTAACAAAGAAAAACAAGAATGTGTTTGGTATTTCTTGTTTTTTTCTGAACTGAAAAAAGATACAAAAATGCGTTTGGTAACTGCATTTGGATTCTTGTTTTCTCAAATATTAATTAAAAAAATAAAAGTTTCACATGAAAATTAATTTTTAAAAGTAAAGTATTAAAAATTTCTAGGTTATATTTAATCTTTTAATAATTATGCATTTTATAAGTTAAAAACTAATAAAAAAATGCTTGTACTTTATGTTTTTAAAAAGCTGGAAACGAGAACGAAAAAACAAGAGGCTTGATTATTGTTTCAAAGATTTATATACAGTTTCGAAAACGTTTCTTAAAATGAGAAATGAGAAACAGAAACAGTTATCAAATACTGGCATATGATGTCATTGGACTCGATGCTAATTAACCATCGACTTCTTTGCTAAAACAATTATCGATATTCCATCAGAACTTTTCAATGCGGATCCTCGCGGTTAGTTACCAAAACCAGGTCAATTGGAAAGAAAATCTCAGCACTAATGACTCAAAGATCAGGTACATGTAGAATACTCACCTGTGGCCTTTTCTTTGACAGGCAGGTTACTCTGTGTGGTGCTTTTATTGTAAATTTCTTTGACAGTAAGGGATATAATTTTGATCAAATTATACAGACCGTCGCCGAGGATGATGGAAATCGCTACGAAGACCTGCAGATGACAAGAAAGAAAAGCACTTTGACGCAGACTAGATTTTGATACTCTAGAAGAATTCAACTAGACCGAGATCATAGACATGGTCTAGAATTGTATGTAGCAAAACATTGGAGGCAACACAAACCTTCTCATTTCATAAAACATAAACCCGAAGATTAGATAAAAATCATAGTAAATCGATGTCATAAAGTATCGGTCCACGGCATGAAATCTAGAACATTCGTAACTTCAAATGTACCTTATATCCATAAAGTCCTTTAAAGTCATTGCTCTTGAGGTCGGCTGGATACCAGTCCCCAGCATGCTGAGTAATGAATGGCCAAAGAAACCCCCATGATATAATTGCTCCAAGAAGAACAGAGCAGTTTACAATGTGAGGACAAATGAGGCCACAACCCACATACGTTGGACTAAAGTCGAAATAAAACCTACCATAAAAGAAATAATCAATAACAAAAATCAGACAGCCACATGAACCTTATTGAAGAGAAGAAGCTTACCAATACTTCAATTATGCTGATTTTTTTCTCTTTTATTAACCGAGGTGTTGGGCGCCCGCTCCTTACATTATACTCATGACCCACCCCTACTGTTCCTTAGGGAGGCTTTGCCCATTTATATTTTGGAACAAAGCTTTAAGATTTCAAAGTTCAGCCCAATCCTATAGTATCTTTTCTAATCTAAATTGTATCAATAAAGTCAACTAGAGAGTTATTATCTGATTGTCCATGAATGCATGGTGTAATACTTGAGAATATTATTTATAATAATATTTTCTCTTATAATAATATTTTCTCTAATAAGTGTGGTTCGATCTCATCCATAGACCATCATAAATCATTCCTTGGACCTCATATAAATTAATGAAGTAAACTGTATCTGTGTTACGAAGGTGATAAGTTAAGACACATTAACCATTTACTTTTTTAGTACACCAAAGGTACAGTGGAGATTTGAATCTCCGAACTCAAGAAAAAGAATAGGTGTCCTAACCGTTAAGTTAGGCTCAATTCGCAATCAATTTGCTTCCATTGAAATAGAAATAATTTTGGTTATGAATTTTACATACATAGGGAAATGAGTCATGACAACAACAAATAGAGGAGGAATGTTCCTGTTGGAGCCTAAGAAGCCCAGTTTAACAAATTTTATTCTCTGTTAGTGTTTATCTCCTCTCTTACTGGAAAGGAGAAAGAGGTAAAGAAGGAAGGAAATAGCAAGACTTACGTATTCTTATATAATTCCAAGCCAAAACTGGGGAAATTATCAAATCCACATGAATCTCCAATGCCACTGAAGAACCACTTAAAAAAGCTCCAAACGAAACTTATCCCTAGATATTTTCCAAGACAATGTACCTGCTTTCTGCAAGGAGGAAAACGAAAAGAAAATAACAAAGAAAATGTGTGAGCTGCAATTATAAATATCCACAAAACCACATCAACTGAAAATATTTTGGAAAATTAAAGGTGGGCATTGGGCACAATGAAGATCCCATTTATCTCCAGATTAAACAATATTTACCCTGCAAGCTCGGCTCCGGTGTTCGTATGAAAACTATTTATCAACATAGCGGTGGCTGTACCACTGGGATATGTAAGCTTGTAATCCAAGACCATCACCTGGATTCATCCAACAAGAGAATAAAATCAAAATTAATGAAACAATAGTCATGGTTAGGAGGCACATTGTAAATTGTAATGACTGAATTCTCAATAGGTGATTAAGCATTATTTTTTTTTATTATTTTTAACATCCATGAGTGTATGGATCAACTTACACACACCTTGATTAATCACAGACCTTACAACATATAGTTGTTACGAAACTTCTAGAATTTTAATATCCTAGGTAGATAGCTGAAATGAGATTTGAACCTATTTTCCTAGAGTCCCTTTATTTTTTTCACATGCCCCAAGCATCGTATATCTTTCACTTTGCTTATTTGTGCAGCCAATCTAATACAAAATTTTCATAGTGGATTTCAATGGAATATGTTCCAGCTCTCCATAGTTCCTCCAAAAGTGCTTTAAAGCATGGTTTTCTCAAAGAAGAAGAGAGTGGATCAGATGAACTAACTGTGAGAAAAGATAGATTATATGGTTATGGTAAGGGGTAATCTAATTGGTTCGGCCAATAAGCTTTTTAACAGCAAAAAAGAAAAGAGAGGGGGAGAGAGAGAGTAGGAAGGTTTAAGTTGAACATTCAACAGTATAACGATTATGCTGAATATCAACTCACCTTACGCAGTGGTACAAGACTGAACAGCCCAAGGAAGCTAACGACAAACATAAAACCGATCATCCATGTCAATCCTGGGTTTATCACATCTTCTGCCCGGTTACCCGGATAATCTGTGCCAATTAGTTTATATGTTCTCTCATTCATTGCAATCATATAAGAACCGGATCCTCCTGAAATCAGACGAAAAATTATGAATTGTATAAAATAGAAAAATATAAGGAACCCACAAGGGTCAAAAGAACCATAATATTTACTGCTCATGATACATGAAGATTGAGATGAATGCATTTTATTCTCTTTGAAGTCAACATGTTGGTTGCTGACAATTCAAAGTAGAAAAAGACATACAGTACCATCAACACCAGGCAAGAAAAAGTTTCTAAAAAGTGGAAATGTAATGAACGTAAAACTCAGATAATCTTCAACATACCCCAAGAAAAGTCACCAAGTGGGAGAAGTTCCAATAAGAAAAAAAGGGTGAAATCACTTAATAGAGATACAAATCACAGATTTACAGCCAGCCTATCTCAGCTTTTGATGGTGAAATGCTTCCCCTACAGTCAAGTCAAAGCAGAAGACTCCAAGAAAACCAGTAGAAGACGCTTACACACGACATGCAGGGATGTGTAAGAACGATTTACGTCCATTGGGTTATGTTACAAACTTACGAATCACCACCGAAAAATATGAGCAAACATTTTTCAAGGGTGTGATTCAGGGGAGAACACCAAAAGACACATGGCTTCAGAAATGGAAGACAATATGCAACAGACAAGCGCTTACAAAAAGTAATCTCGATAGTAAAAGAGGACGCTCATATACAAGAAATGGTCCATGGCAAAGAAGAAAGAAAAAGAGAGAGAGGGAAAGATTACCGCTGAAGGCGAGGCCGTAGCAAGCCACAACACATGTCTGAATGACGGTGTTCTCTTGCTTGGTAAAGGGTACGACGGAGAATCCCAAATTGGACAACACCCCAGTCCAGGATTTGACGAAGAAGAAACCCAGTAACCCGGCGGCGACGTTCAACGACGGGATGATCCCCACTGTAAGATTCAGCTTGTGGGTGATGATACAGAACAAAGTCCCCAATAAAGCGCTCACAGCCAGCCCTCTGATCGTGATCTGCTCTTTCCATCCTGGGATTTCCTCCAAATCATCAGATTCCACGGACTTAGAATCTTGGGGCTCCAATAATAGCGGCTCCGAGATCTCTAATCGCGTGTTCTCCGTCCCCATTGAGATCCCACTTTTTTCTTTTCTTCTTCCCCTTTTCCCCCGATACCCGAGATTCAATGGAGCTAATAATCTTACAATCCTACGATTCGAAGCGCGAAGATTGATTCTTTAACTGGACGGATATCCCTCTCGATGCGTTATTGGGTTGTGTGATTCGAGCGGATTAGAATGAGATGGCCAATGGGTGCGGAAAGGCGCTGTCATACGGAATTGATTCGTTGGGTTGTGTGCTGCGACTGTAGTGGAATTGGTTGGTTGGTTGTTTGTTTTATTCGCCTTCGGCCCGCGGGTCAGAACATTACCAAAGATTCACCGCTAGTTTGCCAATGAGATTTGCTTTTAAAAAGTAACCATCTTGGTTTAATTTTATCGTTGGTTTCTTTCGAGTTTTCTATTCGGAAATTCTGATGCGTGGAGATGTTATCGGGAGTCATATCCGTGGATGTTTCACTAAACGTAACTAAAAAAAGCACCATTTTTTAATCTTTCAAAACAAAACCCAACAAAAGTGAGCTACTTTCTCTGATTTTCGAATGGGATCGATTGATGGGTAGCTTTTGAAATGATTCCTTTTTCTCTATTAATCAGTTTTCTTGGGTAAATTTCCTTATTTTATTTTGACACCCATTTGGATTTCCATTAACTTTCAAACATGTGTAGTTTCCTCGTTCTGTATTTGTTTATATCAATTTTTATCGCTTTGTATTATAAAGTTGGTTAATTATGAACTTGACCCACTTAATAATTAAGGGGAAAAGGGAGAGAGAGAGGGCGTTTGGCTGATGGACTTTTCTGAAAAACAACAATAATATCTTCCATCATTTTCTTCTGGCTCTGATATTTTCCAGGAAAATTTCCTTAGAATCCTCTCTGTTCAGGAGTGATGGAGGGTTCATCTCCAATTTGCCCTTCCTTCAATGTGAGTTCACTCCCTTCGACATTGAAGAACTTCGATTTACAAATTTTCTCGAGATTTCTACCGAAGGGGCCGTTTCCAAGAATTCAAACATTAGATATTACAGAATCTGAAATATAAATTGTTTGGATGGAGAACTGTTGCTATTTTCTGCTGTACTGTCTACTAGGAACAGGAACTGCAAAATATAATCTGACTACAGAGAGTGTTGACATTTAACAAACTTTAAGGTAAAGTTGAAGCAATGAATGTAGCAGGAATTATGGTATCAAGAGAAGAATCATCTGCTTGAACAGGTGCCTGACTAGAAATCTTCAAGGAAGTTGTTGGAAACCTCACTTGAAGTTGAAGGATATAGAAAAAATTAGGTGAAGAGTCAATTTAAGCAGTCCCTTAGTGAAGGCATTAGGTTATGAAGTATGGAAATTATCAAAGAGAAGTCTGTTATTTTGACTCTTTTCCTGTTAAAGTTATGGAAGTAAATGATTTTCTTGATGTTGGCCATTTTTTTTGGTGTTTTATCATGGGAATCCAACACCTTTTTTGTTATTGTTCAGCTGTTTGTCATCCACTCCAACATAGCTACAAACCCCAGAGGGATGTGCAATGGATAAGTTTGACTGTTTGAGATTCAACCCAGAGACATCCACTTCCAATGTATGATAAGTTCCATCAGCTCCCACTCTCCTTCCCAAGTAAAAAATAGAAGTAGCGAAACGAGGCTGGCAGGGCCATGCCGCTGTTTGACACGAAACTCGGCCTGGCCCCAGTATAAAGGCTAGTTGGGATCTCAAATCTCTGGCCCAGTTCAAACCTTCAAGTGCCTTCATGTTGCTTCAGCTCATCTTTCCCACAGTATGTTGTGTAGTTCTTTTTTCTTTTTCTTTTTGTTTTCCCTCTCTATCTAGCAGCCAACTACAGGAACAAAAGTGCTGCATGTGAGATGCTGAATGTTACCTGTTAATAAAATGTGCATGTTGTATATCACAAACAATCTTCAGACATGTAGATGTTTATACACAGAACCTAGATGCTATGTGGTGCATGTGCATAGGAAAGGGATAACAATAAAATTGCAAGGAGGCAAGAAGGACAAGTTAGGTAGTTAACTGTCAGTAAACCTACACCTTTGCTTGCTTGAAGTACAGATACAAGCAAGAATTTAGGAAGAAAGAAACACTCTAAAGAAGGGGATAAGCAATAAAAGATGATGGTTGTTTCAGATGGTTGTGAAATTATACATTCTTAAAACTGAGTTTTAAATTGCCCATGAACCAACCAAATCATATGAAATTTAAACATTGAAGTACTCAAAATCAAGTTACATGTATGCTCAAACTCAACTAGGAAAATACCTAAACCTAGCCATAAAATCAAGCTGTTTAAAAATTGGCCAAACCTAGCAAAGCATCTACTATAGCCAAAAGAATCAATACCAACACAAATAATCTTGTCTAGTCATAAAAATTCTTATAACTAACCATAAATCTTCAAAAAGATGGTAACTTAACTACTTGAGATATTAATTTTACCACTAAAAAAATATATATTAGTTTTTTTTTTTAAAAAAAAAAGAGGGAGTTTTTGAGCCGGCTTATGCACATCTCTAATAATTTTATCGGATAATCTACAACATTTGGTATTTAGAAACTTATCGTTACCATAGTTTGAACTCATGACATCACACCTTGACTGCTGAGAAAATTGTGGCAGTTGTCTGTTGTTATCAGTTCTAACTGGCCATTCATTAACTAATTATTTAGTGGACTATTATAAAAAAAGTAGGGGGGAATGACATTTATCTTAGTACTTCAAATCATGAAGGTGGCTTAGCTACATGAAAGCTATCACTTAATTCCTCCAAAATGGACTTCTTACAGAAGCTGTAAAGTACTCTCTGTTGTTCTGTATTAGATGATGCTCGGATTGCTTAACAAACAATTTTGGACCTGTGGAACACGGCCAAAATCCTCAATTCAAAGGTACAGTGTCTAAATGGATTGTCTGTCCATCTGCCCTTGGGAAATGGGAAATCTCCCAATGTCTAGATTTCCACGTGGAATTCACATGTCCCCAATCTGATCATGGATGGATCCAGCTACAGCCAGACCCCACCAAATGACTCACATTTTGCACAGTTTTGCATTTGTTTTAGAGTGGATGCCTTCTCTGCTGCCCTCCAAAGGCAACTCACTTGTTTCTTAGTAACTTGTAGCTTAGCTGAAAATAAGGATGCTATCTTACCGACTTAGAGCTCATTGGTAGAGTTTTAATGGCAGAGCTTGTCAACCCCCATCAATCATAGTTTTCATTGATGGTTGGAAAGAACATGTTCACATGTCTTTAATAGTAACTTCTAGGCTGAAGAAGAAGCTATGCTTGTGAAAGTTGTCATATTTGGAAACCTGCTGAGAATTCACTTTCTATTTTGAATTCAATGATTTCAGAAAAGAAAAGCGATTAAAGCCGATGGAATTTTGCAATCATCCAGCTCTTCACTTCAAAAAGAAGAGTCTGGAAAAAAATGACTGCCACAATCGCTGATGGATACTGACTGGTTTTCTATGGGAATAAAGTCGATCAGTATCAGTTCTAACTAACATATTGATGAAGTGTTTATAGCACAAGAAAGCACGTCTCACTTTTTTTTTCTTTCACCCAAAACATGAGAACATAAAAAGAAAATATCATAACCATCCCAGACTTTTGAATAGCAGGAACATAGCATAAAATACATACAATCAATCTGATTAATCCAGTTAATATTTCCGCCATGGATCCATTTGGAATCATTTGGAAGTGATTGAGTAAACTTCTTACCCAACAGAAGGATTGTACTTCAATTCAAATAATTTAAGCTTATGTCGGCCTTAGTAAAAATGTACAGCAAACTGTCCCGTCTTGATTTGATCTTAACATCATGATGGAGAAACATAACCTTCAATCATTAAACTGCTATAGGTAATAGATAGGAGAGAACTTAAGCAATTGCTAAATCTAGGAACTGTAATATGGAGTTGCTTTCAGATATTAGAACTAACCCAATCGAAGCCAATTTATGTCATTATCTTAACAAACCATTTAGTGAACTCTTACGTTAATATGTTTGCTTTGTTGGTAAGTTGAAGAGGAATAATACAGTCTCTAGTCATTTGGCTTTAGTTGAACAGCCTGATGTATATCATTATGCTATACTGTGGATCTGATAAACCTTAGTGGGAAAAATGATAGCAAGCTGAGTTTAAGTTCGTAGTCAGTTAAAATTTTCTTGGTTGGATAATGTAGAGAGCTTAAAGGAACTACTAGCTTACACAATAGCAAGAGTATTTGGTGACATTTATATTTTTGGAGATGAAGGAATCCTGGGTAGACAACCAGTGACTCAATCATGCAATGTATCAAGGATTCTCTGGCAGATCTTAGATTAGAATGAATTAGTAGCAGAGTTTTGCCAATGGCAATGAGTGGAACTGGTGAACCTGACAATATTTTTTTAGTGGGGAGCAAAGAACTAAAAAGTCTAAAAGCATACCAGTTTGGGACCCCTAAATATTTATTATCATAACCATTTGTGTTAATCATCTCTGCAGCCAACAATATCAAACAAGCATAACTTCTCTTTCTATCTATCTAGAATGACACAGTAGGCTTTCCATATAAAGCACCTTTTGTGATATGTGCAATTATATGATGGCCATTATTCAATTATGAGATTCTATCAACCATTATAGTTTAAATTTGTTTGAAAAAAGATATTTGGTTCTACTTTTCTCTTTTTGGTATGTCCATCGAGGATAACTACGCATTCAGCAGTGTGTGCAACCTAATCTCGGCACGTATGCGAATTCACAATACACTATAACCAGCAACTTGAGGGTCTCAAACAACTCTCCTATTTGTCCACATGATTTGATATTGAAAAGAATTGCCAACCAAAAGTTTTGTAACTTTCTATATGTTTTCTCTGCTCACTTCTCTTAGACCATTCTAGGAATCCACTGAATTCCAACTCATTAACAGTTAAAAGGGAAATTAATCTGCATTTTTCTTCTTTATTGGGATGTTACTGGGATGTTTAACTCTTAAGATATATTCTCCTCAAATATCTAAACCTACCTCTAGTCCTCTATTTATGCCTCCTATGACAAGCTAAGCAATTGAGTATCAAGCCCTTGAAGAGAGCTAAACAATGAAGGTATGTGAAGAGTCCATGCAGTTCAAGAATTTATACTCTTTTCATCTTATCCTTTAACGTTGCATTTCATTGCTGCAGTTATTAGGATGGATGCACAACAAATTTTGGCAAAGTGGAATCGAGTCAGTCAAGGATTTCACAATCGGTATTCCAACGCTCTCATGCTAACATCTTTATTTCTTCCTATAATACATATCTCAACAATAAAAACGAGCAGGTTATAGTACATACATGATGATTTAGATGTACTCTTCAAGTTCTGTTGTCGGGATTTATCCGGTGGTCATAGTTCGATATCCTACACCAAGATTTGTAGTATACTGATTGAAAACTTCTTAAAGTAGGGAACAATCAATTGTACAAGAACAGAGGTAGAGATAGGCAGCTTCGAATCTAACCGTCACAAAGTATAACATCTAACCATTTCGACAACATGTCGTACTGTTCTAATCAGTTTAGCTGAAGCCAGAAGTCTTTAAGATAGCTGAGAACATGATGTTTCAAGGAAACATGACAGTTTCCATTCTCTCTTCAGCAGTTGGGGCCACTTGGGATCCTGTAGGAACCTCTCACTCTCAAGCCTCTTTCTCAACTGTTAAGAACTTCAGAATTACATCACTTACTAGATTGGTCCACTGTGTTTTTTCCAAAACTAGAATGGAAACAAGACAACGACACTCAACTAGCACTGTTGCACTAATGAACAAAAGGGGAATTTGTTTCTTTTTTTAAAAAAAAGTAGTTGACTCCAAAAATGATGAGCTCCTTTTTCACTTTGGTTTCACTTTTCAGCGAACCCATGTATGTGCCTGTCAGTACAAGCATCAGTTGATGATGAAGACATCTATATGAAGCCAGGTTTTGGTTCCAAAACTGTGCAGCTACAGGATTATGAACAATCATCTTTTGGAGTTGAAGCCAACAACAATGTAATGGAAAAATGTGGAGACTTATGGAATTCATCTGACTTCTTCCATGGATTTCTCACTATTGGAACTCTGGGTTCTGAGCCTGCAACCCCGACATTCTCCATGGCTTTCGAAAACATGATTGAGTTGCCAAATGAGGTGACAGAGGATGACCTGAAGCTGATAAATTATGAGTTAGAAAAGTTTCTTGAAGCTGAAACTAATGAGGACAGGTGCGATCAATCTCCAGGGAGGACGAGTCATGCTAGTATTATCACGCTTGCAGGGAAGCATATAGAAGAAACTGAAGAGGAAAATGAGGGGAAGACTCTAACATGTCCACTTCAGGGATATTTATTTGGATCTACAATTGAACTTCCAGATAAGATGATTGACACGAGGAAAGAAAAACCTTCATCTGCAGAGCTGTTCCAAGGGACTATGACAGCAAACGAGAATTCTAAAGAGAATATTGCGAAAGAGGAGGTATTAGTCAAGCATTCAAATAAATCTGCTCTGAGTTTTTTGAAAAAGATGCATAAGAAACTTCGTAGTTCTTCACATGGTTCTAGCACAAATGACTCACGTGATTCATATTCAACCAAGAAGAAACTCCATAAGGTTAGTTTCCCTATAGCTTTATTTAAAAAAAATAAAATAAAAGTCGTATTCTTGAATTTCCACTATGATTAATCAGGCATGCAGTGCTCATGTATATACTGATACCATTTTATGACATAGTGAGGGGAAAAAATTCTGATACGGCCAAATATATGTTATGCATAACTCTTGATACCTTAAAGGTGTGTTTAGGCCGCTTTTAGCAAAAATACTTTATTTATAATAACTTCAGTAATAAGTGCTTAATAGCACATTATTTTGGTGGTTGGTTTTACACTTAGTGTTTTTAATTATAAGAACTTCAGCAATAACTGCTTTCTTTTTACCTTTTTCCAAGAACACTTTCATTTACTTCCCAACATGATGGAAGGGAAAGTATTTTTGGCCATGTCCATAAGCCCAAAAAGCATTCCCAAACACAACTTTATTATCATATCAAGCAGCAGACTCATTCACAACACTTGGTGCCCAAGCGCACACTAGTTCACCTAGAAATTAATTTCTTTGTTAAGCTTGCTTAGCGTATTTTTTTGACATTCAGGTGCTACGTATGTTCTGTAGAAAAGTACACCCTGAAAGCTCCACTGCTACAGACGAATGTCAAAAGTCCCAAAAATACATATTCAATAATGCTTCTTTTGATGATAATTACAAAATCAGACGTGTGACGAACCCAGCAGAGGACCGAATAACTTTCTGTCAGGAATTCATCTCAAAAGATGAAATGTATTATTGGAGTACCGACTTTGGCCTGCCTCTGTATGGGGTAGAGACCAATGTTTCAAGTGCAAACAAAGGGCACTGGATCAAGACGGATGCAGAGTGTAAGCATCATTTCATATTAACTCATTTCGGAATCATCTTAACTGCTGAACTATTAAGCATTACCCTTTGATATGTTTAATATTGATTATCATATTAACTGTTTCTGCTGAATTTGACAAGATACTTCTTTATCATAGTGATCATGCTGAGAACTAGGATAAAGGAGAAAACCAGTCTTCCAAGATTTAGAGTAAATGTAAATGATAAACAACTTCATGTGATAGGCATATGAAATTAGTGACTTTTAAACTAAAAGCAAATCCAAAACTTGACTAATACTCTTATTATGAGCATACATTAAATTATTAACAAGGTACACAAAGCAAACTTTAGGCCCTGTATGGGAACTCTTTCTAATTTCTCATTCCAGAGAGAATTTGTTAGTATTTATAAATTTTGGAAGGAAAGTTTGTGATAAGCTTAAGATTAATAATGTATGTTCTAAAAAAAGGGATCGTGCTGGTAGGGCATATAAAGTGAGGCAAAACCGTTAGAAAGGGACGGGACCATTGTACAGTTTGGGGCGGGCGCTGGTGCCCCTAGGTATAGAGGAGCAAAACTCCGACTCCCAGTGATAAAAAAAAAATTAGCCGAAGGAGTGTGGTATTTGTAGTAAGAGTATACACTTGGATAGTGAGGTCAAAGGGGCATCTTTTGGCTATTTTGAATAGGAATATTTGGGAGGGGTTCGAGAGCTCTCTAATTCTCCTTGGCTCCGTGTATTTCCCCTGATCATGAATGATAGAAAGGGTGTTTCTATCGGTTTGCATTGTTTAGAGGAATCCATCAGAACATCCCATTCTTACTTTTTGTCTCTTTTGAGTTCTCAACCATGAAAGTTGCAGTTTGACTGATCAGTTTTGTTCTTTGCATCATAGACTTGGTGTTGGAGCTTTAGGGGAAGGAGAAGAAGATTACTGCAAATACCAGAGTTCCTCTACAAGCAAAAGGATAAGATTGGTGTCTTATAAAATCATCTTGAATAATCTTTGGGCAAGTGGCTAATCGATGGCGAAATCAATAATGTTCATGTTAATTGTGTCTAAGTGTGATAGTTAAAACTCTATTTTGGTTTGGCCTTTGTTGTAAGTTTTTATTCATGAATTGGATTGTCTGCTAGAGTTCTTTGAATTCCTGTCACAATCAGTTTCCTCTGTGAAATGCCAAGTGTTCTTTCTTTTCCTTTTTTTTCCCTTTTCATGTACAGTTGTTGTAGATAAAAGTAAAATAAAGCTGTTAGAAGTTTTGAGTTTCTTTTTTAAACAAAACCCTTTTGAATCTTCTGAATTCCAGGACTTCAATGCATTTTCTGCAAGAATCTCTCTTTATTTGAAAGATGAGACCAAGATTTCTTTATTTCCAAGAATCTCTCTTTATTTGAAAGATGAGACCAAGATTTCTTTTAAGATAAAGATTCACTTTATCTCTTACCCTTTTTTTCCCTCTAGAAGTGCAAAAATACCTTTATATTTTTCAGTGAAATATCCCATGTCAGATAACCGTTTCGGTTTTAGTTTTCTGTTTTTAGTAATTTTTCACTGAAAATATATTTAAACTCTTAGCCAAATTTCAAAGGAAAAAACAAGTTTTTGAAAAACTACTCTTTTTGGTTTTCAAAGTTTGGCCTAAATTTTGAAAAAGCAAACCCATATAGAAATAGAAACAAAAAATGAAATCGCTATCAAACAGGTCCATTTCTTTGTTTTCGCATATAGTAATTTGCCTATAGTTGAATGAAAAAACTTTATTTTTACGACTTCCTTTTCCTTCAATTTTGTTCCTTTTTGGATAACTATTAGTTTACTTTGTGAAAACTTTTTGGTCGATGGTTTCTTTTTTACCAAAGCTAAATCTGCAGTGGGTGAGAAGAAATTATTAAATGTGAATTGTCAGGCAAGGCAGATGCATCATAGAAAAACTAAGGAGAAAAGTGCTATTTTGGTTCATTAGTCTTTGAAAATAGGTTTAAATTGACATTCCAACACATATCTATTAGGTCCCTAATGAAAAGATGATTGGGCTAATATGGTAAATTCGAGTTACAAGTTCGCCGCATTAAGTAAACACTGAGATTTGTGGTGTTCTTCCATCAACCATATTATGCGACCATTTGGTAGCAGGATCACGATATGATATGAACACTATGATTGTTATTTTGAGTATAGTCATGATAGGGTCTAACAACATGATGTTCATCCTTATATTGATGAACACAATATGAAATCATATCGCAGTAATGGCCGACCAATAACTTCATCAATCTACATACACTAAAATAACATATTTCAACAACTTTGTTTAGCTATATGAATCGAATCATGCTCACAATGCGCCAAAAATAATTTTCATTCATGTTAACATGTTTTCATTAGAGACTCAACAAATTTGTTAATCTTTTTTTTTTTTAATAACAATATGTTAGTAGATGGACCATTAAACCTATTTTTGATAACCTATAGGAAAAAATGCACAATTTTGAAACATAGGGACTACCAGATGAACCTATAGCTAAAAACTCGGACCAAAAAGTATACTTTTTCCAAAACTGAATTATTAACTTGAACTTCGCAAGATGTATCAATTTTTACCACTTTCAATTTCATCAAATTACATCTTAAACTTAGATAAAATTTGCAATTATTTATCTTAAACTTGAAGTATTGCAATATTTATCTTGCGATAAGTTTTCGTTTAAAGAATAATTAAAAAAACAAGTATATGTGAGATTAGTCGAGGTGTGTAAGCTAGTTCGGACACTCACAGATATAAAAATAAAAAATAATCATAAATAAGTATTCTTATCTGCATTTAATGAATTATGAAACATATATTTGGGAATAAATAGATAGGATTGATACTTTAAAAATCAATTTAAAGTGATTTTAAGCTTTTTCAAAATAAATTTTAAAACGAGCGGGGAATGAGATGAGATAAAATGAGAGAAAGAAAATGAAGATGAGATGAGATAAAAAGAGAAGAAAATGGAGAAGGATGTATAAAAGAAGAGAGAAAATATAGAAAGAGAAATGAAGAAGAAGGTGGGATAAAAAGAGAGGAAATAAAATGGGGAAGAAGGTATAAACAGAAGAAATAAAAGGGAGGTGAAGAAAGAGGAGGAATAGAAAAAAGAAAATGGAGGCAACGAGATAGAAAGAGAGTATGGTTTTGATATAGAGGAAGGTAGTTAGGATTTTGTTTTATAATTATAAGAGCGTAACACTAAAATAAATATTTTATTTTCATTTCCTACCCTCATCCAAATAAAAAAATTTATTTTTAACTAATTTGAAATCCATCAAAATTTATTAAATTCCAAAAGCAATTAAGAATACGAAATCATTTCTATAATTTAGAATCTTGTAATTTGAAATCATTTCTTTCCGATTCGAGACGCCAACCCGAATAAATCTAGGTTCAATTTGATGAAATTAAATATTTACCCACCAATTATTCAATACATCTAAATTGTGTCAAACTATAATAAATAACTTCTTGGGGGCGAGAGAGAAAATCAAACTTATTTATTGGCATTGATTATATAAAAAAAAAATTTCCGTTTCAATAAATACATATAAATAATTTCACAACTTATTAATTGACATTGATTATATAGACATAAAAAAAAAGTTAATAGGTGCATTTCTTCTAGTTCAATAAAAGTGCATCTTTTGATATTTTTGTTTAATATAACATGTGGGGTGGGGTGGGATGAAACTCACGATCTCTTCATTAGAGATGTATGCAATTATCGTTTAGCTAGGCTCGCTTTGGCCATCTTTGATCAGTTTAAGAAATATGTTAACAAAATTTCGACATTTCATTAGAGATAGATGGCTTAACGAACTAAACTCAAGTTGGCTTTTAGTTAATATTTATAGTAGCACTCCATTTTTTCGATTCAACAATTGATTAACTTTTTATTATTATTATTAATAATTTCTTTGAGGGTATTCTCATAAATAACTTATTATTTAAAATTTAAAGAATACATACTTGGAACGATGATATTTGAAGTTAAATGTTCATTTCAATTACTTCCTATATTTACCAGATAGAATTTAAGACTCGTCTAGTAAAATTCTTATGTGTTGTTTTCAATTTTTTAGGAATATAATATTTGGTATTGTTCATATTTCTCCTTTCCCATTTTCAAGAAACGTTTCTAAAATTGTGCAGAGATTTTGAAATAACAAAATCAAATTTATTGTTTTTAGTTATTTTCTAAAACATAAATAAAATCCTATTCTTGACTTATTAAATGTATAATAAATATTAAAAATGAATATAACATAAAAATTTTGAATATTTAATTAAAAAAAAGGTTAAACTTCATATAAATACTTAATAAGAATGCAATATTTTATGAAATTGTTTATTTAGACGCAAATATAACCTCATTGGCTAAAACAGTCCTTTTCAAGATGTGGTTGCCAAAGTCAATTTTGTAATTTATTATCTGTTCTCCTTTCTTTTCGTATCGATTCAATAATCTCTATTATTATGAGACATGTGGAACATTGTTTATTGTGGTTATGGATTAAGTTTGGGTAATTAAGAAGGAATAACTTTTTCCTTGGGTAAAAGTGAACGAGATTTCAATAAATAAACTAACTGAGAGTTATATAAGAATAGTGATAATTACGTATCATATTAGAATCCACGGAAGAAAATAACTATGTCCAAAGATAGATAAACGATCAGAAATGATACACTTTGCCAATAAAACAGCTTTCCTATTCAAATAATGAGGAATAGAAGAAATTAGAATTTTTGACCTTCCAATAATTCAACTAGGATTTTTAACCTCAGTTACAAAAACTCGTATGTATGACCCCTCCCATTGAAATTTTAACCCTCCCAACTTTTTGGGATTGAATGAGTCAAAAAATGGGAAAATAGTTTAATGTGAAAATCGAATTTTTTAACTTTAAAAAATTAATGTGAAAAATTGAAATTAGTTAATTGAATAAGTGAAAAAGGAAAGTAAAAATTTGATGAATCTACGCCAAAATTGCATAGATTTAATTTAAAAAGAGGATCAAAATTAAATTATGTAATTAGGAAAAAAACGATTTCATAAATACCTGGATTTAATTTAGAAGGAAAGTCAAAATTTCATAAATTTAGGCCAAGATTGCACATATTTAATTTAAAAAGAGGATCAAAATTAAGTTGAAAAAAAAACGATTTCATATATATCCGAATTTAATTTAAAAGTCAAAATTTCATAAATTTAGGCCAAGATTGAACATATTTAATTTAAAAAGAGGATCAAAATTAAGTTAAAAAAAAACGATGTTATAAATCGTTTAGGAAAAACAACGTTTTCAAGAAAGTCAAAATCGAAGGGAAGGAAGAAAAAAAAACGGGAGTGGATCCCGATCCGAGATAGCATAAACCTGGATCGGGATTGCACAATCCCAGACCAGGTYAGTATCCATACAAGCCTGATCTGGGATTATGCTAACCCAGTCTGAGGTTGTTCTATCCCGGTCCGGGTTTGTGCTATCCCGGATCGAGATCCACATCATTCCAGTTTTTTTTTTTTTTTTTGCCTTCTCTCCCATTTTGCCGTAAATTAAATCTTTGACCATTTAATGCAATATTAGCCCGAAATTTATGAAAATTTTTACTTTTTTTTTAATTAAATCCGGACAAATCTTATGCATTTATTCTTGGATCATGAAAATCATTTTTCACCCGAATTTAGTTATTGGAGGATTTATGTGGTTTACTGTTTACTTATTGTAGGATTTTTTGTGAATTCGGTTGTTGTTCTTTATTGATTCCTTAATTAAAATGTTGATTTTTTTCCATATTAAATTCAAATTAAAAAGAAATTGAAAGGTCGGTGAGAGATTGTTGGATAATTTTACTCAAAAAAACACATGATATTTTGGTAATTTTACAAAGATAAAAAATGGAAAAGGGTCACAAATTAGAATGGAGGGGTCACACTTAAAGATTTTTTCAAAAAGGGGTTACTAATCCGAAATGATTTATGAGAGGGTCATATATCCCAATTTCCTTGGGAACAAATTTCAACCAACGAAACATCTCTTTCAACAAAGTCATAACATCATTAACCCCATTTAATACTATTAGATGAGACTCCTTAACTAATGAGAAATCTTATCGTTTATGGCACCACTATCCAAGATTTGAAAGGAAATAATTTCCTCTATAGTTGTTTTATTCTCCATGACAAGTAATGAAGGAAAAGACATAAAAGCTACATTAGACAAATTTCCTAATTACGCTACGAATCTCAATACAATTAAGACTGATAGCATTCCCATATACCAAAATTGTGTTCGAGCTAATCTCTGCCGCACCTCTGTTGTTGCCCACCTTTTGCTCTGTCATCATTGCCTTTGGACCATGGAAGTCTTCTGAACCAGGATTCAATGAAGATGAATAGTCATCCCAAAATATCGCAAACGAGTGCCCTCTCCAGTTCGATGCCTAAAAACTATTGAAAGCATCCTGATAACAAAGCCACTAATCATATATAACATTGTTTCTTTTGATTTTATTAGCCACAACACCACTATTAACATCTGATGGGGAGATCCCTGAAACTTAGCCACCACCCGCCTCCCTGCAAACCATGGAAGAAGGATCCTCCCTGAAAATCTCCTCCAAAACAGCAAGAGAGATCCTCATGATATCTCGATCCATACAACTTATCTTTTGAAAAAAAACCATGGAAGAATCGAAACAAAACAAAGATGAATGACCTATGAAAAACTCAGTTGGAGAACTAAGAGAACACACACACTCTTCACACAGAGGAGAATGAGAGAAGGAGATCAAGTCACTGGCCACTCCATCCCCACCGATTCACTTTTGCCTAACAAACGGGAGATAATTTTTTCTTTGTTAGGAGTTAATTTACTTACCTCTAAGCTACAAATTTTGTAAATCATTTGAGAATACCAAACTTGTGAAAATTGTATTTTATACTACCATATTAACACAAATCATTGACCTAAAAACTATAATTTTAATTTTCAAAAGATGGTGCGTAATTGGTAATACGGTGAGATGTAGTATAGTAAGTAAAACGTTCTATGGATCAATTTCGTGTAGACGGTTAATAGGCAAGTTTAGAGTTTAGAGAACTAGATTTTCAATTTGTACAAACACCATGAGAATGAGTCCAAATCCCACACGCTTCCATTTGTACAAACACTATCAAAATGAGCCCGAATCCCGCACACTTCCATTATCGTTATTACACGTAATTCCAAATAAATACATCAACATGTCAAATAAACGTCAACTTACCTGATTAACTATATCATACACATGATTGAAAATTAAAAAACAGTAGTTAAAATTCTTAAAAGTTAAAAATAACAGACTAAAATAGACATCATTCTAAAAGTTTACCACTTATTTGTAATTTAATATTGTTTATTATAGTATAGCAATTTATAGTTATGTTTCTTTTTTCTTTTTGAAAAACTTGATTCAGAATTATTTAGTTAGAACAGATAATTATTTTTCAACTAATTTTGGCGATAATTCAATTATCGGCCAAGACAGCACAAAAAAACAAAAGAAAAAACACTTGACCAAATATGTTGTCCTAAATACAAAAAATAATTATTTAAAACAACTTTCAAACTCAAACTCCCACCACACTTAATTTCCATTTTTATCCATCTTACAAAAAAAAGTTTAAAAATTGAACTGAAAAAAAGTTTTAAAAAGTATTTTTGTTAGGTGTACTTCTAATTTGGTCTAGCATATTTAATTATTACCAAATAATTCGTTAACAATTTTATAATTAGAACTTTTTACGACTGTCTTTAATAATTTTAAATTAAATTGATCAAATATGTCACTATCTTGCGATGAATTTTTGATATTTGAACGTGGAAGTAATAGAAATACGATGTATTGTTTGGAACGAAATTGAGTTTGAGCTCCCAATAAATTTAAAAATGAAAAGACATAGATTTTGAGACTATTGATTTTTTATTTGTGATGGCAAAATGGGAAGAATGATTATTCATGGAAATAGATCCAAATAATTTAGGAATAAAAAACCTTTACAATTTAGAAAATAACAAATATTAATAAAATATAATATAAGTTTCTATAATAAATATTAATTTAAATTGAAAAAATTAGAAATCGCGGTACCAATTCCCATTTGTTGACTCAACTTTCACTTACACATCAAGTCCCTGTTTTTGGACCTGGGTCTCTCCAGATTCTTCAATTTCTTCCATTATTTCTGGTCCTCTTCTCTTCTTTCTGCTGGATTAACGGGTTATTTGGCGACCCGGATGCAGTTCATTTGGTACCCGTCAACTGTTGACTCATATGAATAATTGAAGTGAATTTTCTGCAGAAATCTACAGGACCTTCCGCTTGAATTCCGTTCCATTTCTCTAACTTTTCTTCTCCATTTTCTTTATCTTCTTACACCACTTTCTCCCTCTTTGCCCACGAATTGAGGATCCATTTGCTTCCACAGATGGAGAGAGCGACCAAGAACGTGTTGCTTTCTTCCAATGGGGACGAGATTTCCAAGAGCCTTGCCATTAACCTTGCCAAACGGGGTTGCAGGTTCAGCATCTAACTTTGAAATTCCTGGGTTTACTTGTTTGCTTGCTGAGAAAACTGAGGGAAAAGGGGCATCAACGAAACTTTTCATTAATGTGCTGCTTTTGTTTTTATCAGTTGTTAACCTTGTGTACCATCTTGTTCTTGGCTATGTTTATAGACTCGTTTTGATTGGAAATGAGAGTCTTCTTCAAAGTACGAGCAAAGTGATTGTGGAATCCTTAAAGGGTGTCCTGCCAATTGACGTGGTTGGGTTGGACATGGAAGAAGAGAGAGAGGCAGCTTTTGATGAGGCTGTGAACAGGGCATGTAGTATTTTGGGAGCTTTGGATGCTTTTGTTAATGCTTATTCTTATGAAGGTACAGCTTTTCTCTAACTCTTTCACTCATATTTGCTTTTCATAGCTTGTTTGAATTCTCTTCTCGTAGTTTCTGATCTGATTTGGACAACTATAAGTTTTTTTCTTTTCCCCCCTTTCAAATCTATAGTGTTTGGAACAAATAAAAAAAGGGCTTTTAAGAAAATCAGATCGATTTAAAAACATTTTCATAAGAAACACTTGAGAGTTGATTCTCAAACAAGTGATTGACTAAGAATCATTTTAAAATATGTAGTGAGAAAAAAAATACACAAGTTTGTGATTAGTAGAGTTACTTTTGGAGATAGTAAAACCAAACGAATTTGTGATTAAAAGCACTATTAAGACAATGTAACCAACCACATGAGTGTTTTAAGAAAAAATGTATTTTAAAAAGGAATAAGGAAAAGAATCTGAATATGACAGTCCAAAAAGGAGTTGTTCTCTTAAGTCTTAATTATATTTCTTTTAATCTATATAGGATTTGTTCCATTTTTCTACTGGCATGCTGATTTTATATTCTTTAGTGTCATAGAATGCTTGGAAAAAGTGGTCTGCAAATTACCAATAGAAGAAGTCCATTTATTTGATGTTGATCTTGCTTAATCATGAAAAGGGCAGGACAGGACTGAAAGTAACTGGTGAATCTAAAAAGTATAAGATCAAAAAATTCGTCATTCTTAAGCCAAGATTTATTCAGGCCCCTCCCTTGATCCAATGAAAGAATCATAGAATGATTGTCCCTTTGTCTTTCTTAAACTTCTACCCCATGTTGAGGTGATGTCTCTTGAAACATGAAACTACATGAAACTACATAAAAAACGATGGATTCTATAGATAAGTTTACCGTCCTCTAGTATAGATTTCACTCTGTCAAGCCAGTCGAGCCAATGCTTCCTAAAGAACTTGGCCAGAATAGAAGGAAAATCAGTTCCCTAGTTAGATTTAATGGTGTGTGCAGCTGTTTCCTTATTGATGTTTAGTCTGTATTTGTATTTTCTCCAAGATATGATATATATACTTGGCTCTGGCACCGGTTGGTTGAGAGTTGGGATGTATAACTTCTCTGAAACTTATTCTACTGTAAATTGTGTTAAAGTGCACTGCATTTTTGAAGCAGGTTCCATACAAGATCCTCTACAGCTATCTGAAGATGAATTCAAAAAGATTGTTAAGATAAATTTCATGGCTTCATGGTTTCTGATGAAGGCCGTTTGTCGAAGAATGCGGGACCAGAAATCGGGAGGCTCGGTAATTTTTTTGTCCTCCATAAATGGTGCAGAAAGGGGGCTGTATCCTGGAGCAGCTGCCTTCGCGTCATGCTCTGCAGGAATACAGCAGTTAGCTCGGGTAAGTTCTTCACCAGTGATTCTTCTTATTTTTATTTCCATTACAGCTATATTGCTTTTTGCTTCTAAGTATCTTTTGCCTGAGTGTATTTCTGCATTATTATTTGTTTGAAAGAGCTATCTGAAGCTCAAGTTTCATCTTCCCGTAGTTGGCACCTCAATGCACTCCTTTATGTAACTTGAAGTTGTGAGGTTTTGTGACCTTCTGCGAGTTCTTTTCGCAACTAAATATTGTAGGTAAAACAATTGTCCTGTGAGACTAATTGAAGGTGCGTGCAAGTTGGATTGGACATTACAAATTGAAGGTGCGTGCAAGTTGGCTTGGACATTACAAATATTGAGATTAGAAAAAACAAATTACAAGATAGATTTGAATTAAGAGTACAAAGAGAAGATTTAAAATGCACCAAAATTCAAACATCTTCCTGTAAACTATCTATTCCTATAAATGTTCTCATATTCCTTCCTTTTCAACCAAATAAGTCACATAATGGTGAAAGAAACAGATGCTCAATCTCTGCACGATAGATAAGCCAAAAATTTGCCCGCAAATTGTGTGGCATCATCTTAGAAACTTTTGACAATCTTTCGAACTAAAGAACTCCTTGATTTCAGAACGAAGGTGATGTACTGTTGTGGTGTATAAATCATAGCAGAAAGATTTATGTAGCCAAGTCTAGCAGTTCAAATGATTTTTTTTAGGTTAAAATACTATTTTAGGAGCCTTTTGTTTGGTGGGAATCCAAGATTCTCGYGAGACGGGCATTTGGATCCCCATGTTTGTTTTGCGGTAGTGTAAAATACTCGGGTATCTCATGCTCGGGTATCCTAGGAAGCTCATACAAGGCATTTGAGTCAATTTGGACGCCCTTTCGAAACATGGGTTTACGAGATTCCCATGTTGATGGTATCTCCTTTTTACATTTTTCACCTTGGTTCGTTTTTCATATATTTTCTTTCATCAATTTTCTATATCTTTATTTTTAATTTTATAATTTAAATAGGTTAATGTACTCGTTGACTAATAAACAACTCTATGCAATTAAATATATTTATATATTGCATTTACATATAAAATAAACTGAAATTAAATTATATAATATCTCGATTTATTTTTAGTATTTGAAAGGAATTATTATTAATAACATTTATTATCTTAAATATATAATTTTAAAGCAACGTTTTTGTAACCACCAACGTATATTTGATATTTTTCTTCTTAAACAAAATATAATTTGATAATATGATAAATAAATTTCACGTTTTTGTCAAAAAAAAATAATAATAATAAATTTCATGTCATGTAACATTAATTATATAACTGTCTTTTTAATATTTAAAAATATTAAAGTTAAAATGAAATTTATATTTAGTATTAATAAATTTTTTTTAAAAGTCTTATATTAATATGAATTTTACATAGTTAACATAAAAAATTAATATATACGGAATTAATATAAAAAAACAAAATACTAAATTAATTAAAACAAATTTATTATATTAAATTAATATATAAATTACATGAATATATTAGTAAGGACATTTTTCGAACATTACATAAATTTACAACATTCTACGAATAAATCTTCCCAAACAAACGGGGTTATCTAAATATTTTCTGACATCTTTATAAATTTTCCTACCAAACAAACATGGCTATCTGAAGATGCCGTACATATAAAATTCTGGGTATCTAAAATTCTAGGCATTTGAAGATGTCGGGCATCTGCATTTTCGAAAAACAAACGCCTCCTTAGTCCCTATAGGTTAGATATCCTATAAATGATTAAATTTATCCGAACCCATTAGCTTAAGCTTTTAGGTTGATGGGTGATTTAACATGTTTAAAATGATATCAAAGCTATCTTATAATTATAAATGATTAAATTTGCCCAGTTTTTGTTCATTTTGTTCCCTATACTTTCAAAATGCCCATTTTGGTCCCTATACTTTCAACTTTTGTCTATTTTAGTCATAGTTCTAAATATCCGTCGACACGTCGACATGTCCATCGATACATCCATGTTTCCATGGGTTCGACATCGACATGAAGGGTGAATAGACATTTCCATCATAGTATAAGAAAATCGACAAAATGTGAAAAATATCAACAAAATGTCACTAATATATTAATATTAATTATTTTTAACTAATTTAGCAATGAAAAATGTTTATTTGTTAATTTAAATATTTTTTACGATTTTTTAATATTTCTAACTTTTACAAAAATATCCATCGACATCGATATTTCCATGAAATTGAGACCTTGACATTTCCATCGACATCGACATTTAAAACCTTAATTTTAGTCCATATACTCTTGAAACGATCAATTTGGTCACTGTAATTTTAAAAAATGATCGTTTTGGTCTCTTCATTTTATTTTTTGTCTATTTTTTTCGATCACAATTTCAATACTATACTCAATATATTTTTTGAGATGTAGCCATAATTTGACATTAAAGGATTTTTGCCGTGTATGGAATTTGTGTTAAAATTTTGCAAAAAGTGACCAAAATAGTAACTTTTTAACGGTACATAAAAATGAATGTTTTGAAAGTACAGGGACTAAAATGAAATCAAAACTGATCTTTAGAGAATTATAACAAAAGATCTTGAACAATTGTATCGATATAGTGCAATGTTGCAATTTGAAATCATGTCTGAAACAAACTTGACCAACCTGCTTTTCTAAATTAGTTTGAGTGCAGAAGCATGAAACCACGGATGAAGTTGCAATCTTTGGCAACTTTCAGCTTTGCATTTTTAAGTTCTTTTCCTAAGACCTTCGAAATTGTACGATTCCCCCAAGTTTTAGAAATATTTATAAAATGCTAATGAAAAAAAATATCTGATCTTTGTTTGGTGAACTTCATAGCATGATCTCTCAATAAAATTCCCTGTTATAACACATATAGTGGATTGTGTTCTAGGCTGCAGCTATGGACGTTGGAAAGTATAACATCAGGGTCAACGCGATTGCCCGTGGATTGCACCTTGAAGATGGATACCCCATATCAGTCGGGAAGGAGCGAGCGAAGAGGCTGGTCAAGGATGCAGCACCACTGGAAAGATGGCTTGACGCTAAGAACGATTTAGCTTCAACCGTCATCTATCTCATCAGCGACGGGTCACGCTACATGACTGGAACAACCATATTTGTTGATGGAGCACAGTCTCTAGTGAGGCCGCGGATGCGTTCATATATGTAGTTCTTGTTAGACAGCTTCAGGTGAGAACAACATCCATAAGTTAAATGATATTTCTTTAACATTTTGCTTTGTCTGTAAGTTTAGAACATGAATTTGAGGATTGTGTCTAATAAGATTTTGTGCTCTAAAATGTGTCTAACAGATTTTTTAACTTTCAATTTTGTGCCCAAGAGTTTTAGAAAAAATGTCGAATAAATCAAACATCTATTCAACACAAAATTGAAAGTGCATTACAGAGTTCAAAGTTTAAGACCTATTAGATATGAAACGGTGAGGACTAAACTAGTAATTTAACCCATAATGATTGATTCAGCTGCTGTATTGGTTGCAGAACATACTGCCCTAGATTCTGTTTTTGGTTGCAATGTAGGAAGCAAGTTCTTATCTTAAGTTATTGAATCTGTTGTTTCTGGTTCTGCAGGGGAACAGGGGATTCCTGGTTCAAACCAACCAACTGTAACTGTTTTCGTGTATAATGTCGTGGCGGGAGGCTCTTGATTCCTTCAACCGACCAATAAAGTCGCGGTAAGTGTGCTGGAGGATTCTTGATTCAATTGATCAAACATGACTGTTGTTTTCAGTTAATACTATGAATACAGTATGTTATCTATTCTTGGTTCATTCAAAACAATCGTGATCGTTGTTTAAACTATTAGTGATTTCAAGTGTATAATAAATTTAATCTTTACAAGTCATTTAATAATAACAAAGTAGGGACTCGGGCATGATTTAAGAACAGATAAAATTGTTCTCTTGAAAACCACAAATTTATGAATAGCGATTTCAAGTGTGTGATTATGATAACTTCATTTGTAACAAGTCATCTAAATTAGAATAAAGTCTGGATGTAGTCGTCATTTAAGAACTAAAGTTGTTCTTTAGAAAACTATGAATTTATGAATAGTGATTTCAAGTGTATTACAACTTACAAGTAATCTAGAGTTGGAGCTCAAAAAGTTGTCTTTTGTCATTTAGAACAAAAGTTCTATGGAGATGTATTTGCTTTTGTTATGCTGAAATTTGGTTGAGTTGAGTAGGCAAGATACCGGGTGACTCGGGATCTCTCACTATGGGGTTACCTGCAATTAACCATACTTAAACACTAGTGTGGTGTTGCCGTAAAACCCTCCGATGTCTAAGTTAGTACTTGGATCAAAGTAAAGCAGGTAGGAAAGCAGGAGAATTGTGTGCTAGAAGTTAGTGTACCTTGTGGAATGGAAAAGTCTGTACAACTAAATATAGTAACTCAAGTAACTGAACTAATATTAGTATACAATCCTCAGGAGACATTGTGTATCAGCTAAGTTTTCTTACGCATTTTCGATTGCTTGCATGTTCAAAATCATAAAACTTAAAAACAAAACACTTTGATTTAATGGAAAACTACATAATTGTGGGAAACTCTGTTGGAAATTACTGTAGGAACTCTCCTATTTATTAGGAAAAGTTGGGTGATGAAGTTAAATGAGTAAAAAATAAAATAAAATAAATAAAAATCTTAAAAATTTATAATAATCCCCGGGACCGTACCATTGGCCAAAGTGTTATCAATCATTTATTCGCTGCCAATCGATGTTCGGTCTGGGATCCTTTGCTAGGCTTCTTATGCCCAAAGGTCGACTATGCGGGACTTTATCTCTCGTCCTCGCTTGTAATCGGGTCGGGCCCATGGTCTACATGGCCTCTTGGGATTTGACCACATGGAAGATGAGATTTTACCCTTAACAACTTTAACTGTTTGAGCTACTTTTCACTTATTTTTCTTCCATCTAAAAGAAGCTTATTTTTCTTCATATTTGGCTACACTTTTCAATCCATTATGTTGATGTAAAAGCTCAAAGACCAATTCAAATTCAACCATATTTCATACAATTTGATCAAATCATTCTAGAAAATATTGAAGATTTGTGTGATAGGAGGCAGCTGGTTGGCTTCCTATTCAACAAATGCCAACAAAATCTTGAATATGTAAATAGGAAGATGTTCCAAAAATACACAACTCTCCCTCTCTATCTTCCATTTTGAGACAGCTTTTAATAAAGAAACAAACAAATTTCTATGGTCAGACAGACCATACTCAAACACACATAAGACCCATTACTCAATCATCTATGTTTTGTATAGTAAGCAACAAATATAGGCATCAATTATGCTCGAGCCAATTATCTAATCTTACAATATTCATATGTTGAGATCAACCAACACAGATTCCAACTAATTTTTGTGTGGCTATGGCTCGATTTGAATTTGAAATTTTTAGGACTTATATTGCATTTTAATGTGTCTCACAATTCRAAAGAATTAGGGGAGGGTCATTTCATTTTTGTATCGAGAACGAACAGGTTCAAGAGATAAGAGAATTAAGGATACCCACCAGAAAGACTAATGCAATCCATAATGATGTACCAGAAAATACAACATTTTTGTTACCCGACCAACCATCAGGAGAAGCAAATACAACGGGCACACTAATCAGTAAGATTGATGAAGTAACAATTAATGCAAAAACAGCCAATGATCGATCAGTTTAAACCCAAAATATTAGACCAAACAAATGAAAATCCTAGAATTGAAAAAAAAAAAGAATAAGTACCAAATAAAGTAAAATGTGTACAATTATGCACAGATTAATTATCTAGACGTCCTACAATATTTGTTTGTAGTAAGTACCAAACAGAGTAAAATGTGTATAATTATGCACGGTCAATTATCTAATCTTACAATATTCAATTATACATACATTGAGGCTAGCTTACATACATAATCTTGACCTTAAACTCAAAATACTCGACCAAACAAATGAAACTCCAAACCCGAGAAATGAAATGAATGGATAACCATTTTCTTCATTTCATTTTCTGTGTTTGGTGTAATATTATAATATATATTTAATTTTCTAAAAAAACATCAAAATCATAAAGAAAATAGGATTTCAACTCGAATCAAATGTGTGATGTTTCTTGGTAGAATCAACATCAATGAAGTATAAAAATATCAGCAATATATCTTCAACGTGACATTTTTTTCCTATAGTTATTGTTTTTATTTTTTAGTACTTGATGTCATTTTTAATAATGTTTGAGAATTTAATCTTTTAAATATCTTAAGGACTTTTCAACGTTGACCTTCTATCATCTTATCAAAATTCTAAGTATTAGTTGATTTGTAATGTCATAATCAAAGTTTTTTTTGGCGTTTTTATTTTTTGTTTTTTTAAGGTTCACAATTTCCTCGACTATAGTTCACCAATTCTTTGAAATAAATCATGGAAGTCACATGCTAACTTCGATTAAGTTTCAATTTTGGTCTTGAACTTATTATTAAGTATTATATTTTAAAAAGTTTTTAATGTGTATTTGGTCTATCAAATCTGAGTAATTTAAAAATTTTTAACAACTCATTGAACTTTTAATTTTGTATTATTTAATGAGGCTCTATTATTAACTACGTCAAGTCAAGTAAGTTTCACCGTTACTCAAAATCTACTGGCCACTTAATCATTAAATGCCTAGTAAAATATTAAAGTTCATAGTTAACATAGGCCGACCTATTAGGACAAAATAAAAGGTTGAAGAATTTATTGGAAAATTTTCAAAGTATAAGGATTTAAATAGATAAAATATTAAAAGGTTAAGGATTTATTAGGAAATTTTTTTAGACATACGGAGACTTATTAGATGCAACTCTAAAAGTGTTTGAGCTAAACAACAATTAACCAACTTTTTCTTTCTCTTAAGGGGTGAAGCTAGAAATTTTCTTGAGTGGCAAAATTTTACCTGTTCTCATTACACGATCATTTGGATTTCAACATTTCTTTTGTAGGAATTTAAGATACTTGGGCATTTCAAGGTGTCCAAATATCTTAAGATGTCTATATCAGAGGAAATCTAACATATTTTGGATGCATTTTTGAAACATGGGCTTTCGAGATTTCCATGTCGAGTGCATCATTCCTTTACTTTTTTTCCCTTCATTATTTTTTTTCATATACTTACTTTCATAAATTTTTTTTATTTTATAATTTAATAAATTCATGTACTAATTGAACTCAATTTGTGCAATTACATATATTTATATATTACCTTTACATATCAAATAAAATAAAACAAGTCAAAAGGAGAGCATATATCTCCAACTTAATAAATCTTGCTAAACAAATATGGTTATCTAAATATTTCTAGAATATATCGGAATATTTAAATAGCCATATTTGTTTTGCAAAATTTATTCCGTTAAATTTATAGAATGTTCCAAAAATACCCTTACGAATATTTCTATATAATTTATAAATTCATTTAATATAATAGATTTATTTGAACCAATTTAATATTTTTTTATATTACTTTGCAGAACAAATTAATTCATATTAATTTAATATAAATTTCATTTTCAACTTTAATATTTTTTCAAAAACACAATCACATTATTGACGTTATTTGGGTGAAATTTATTTATCTTATTTTATTTTTTATATGTTATTTTGTAGAGCAAATTAATTCATATTAATTTAATATAAATTTTATTTTTAACTTTAATATTTTTCCAAAAAGACAATCATATCATTGATGTTATATTTGGTGAAATTTATTTATCTTAATATTTTATTTTTCATATCTATTTTGTAGAACAAATTAATTCATATTAATTTAATATAAATTTCATTTTCAACTTTAGTAATTTTCCAAAAAGATAATCATATAATTGATGCTATCTTCTGTGAAATTTATTTATCTTATCATCAAAATATATTTTTTTAAGAGGAAAAATATCACATACATGTCCATAGTACAAAAAATGTTGCTTTAAAATTATATATTTATGATATAAATATTATTAATAACACAATTCCTTCAAAATATTAAAAATAGATGGAGATATTTTGTAATTTAATTACAGTTTATTTTATATGTAATGTACGTAAAGTTTTTTATTAGACGATGAGTACATTAATTTATTTAAATTATAAATTTAAAAATAAAAATATAGATTTTTTTTAGGAAAAAATAAAAAAAAAATTTGTTGAAAGAAAAATATCTAGAAAAAAAAATAAAGTGCAAAAATATAAAAACTAGATGCCCTCAACACGAGAATCTTGAAAACCCATGTTTGAAAAGGGCATTTGATGCCTCGTATGAACATCCTAAGATACCTAAGTATTCTTGATGCCCGAATATTCTACATTCTCACAGAACAAACGTGGAAATCTAGATGTCCGCCTAATCACATACATGTTGATCGTAAAAAAATGTTGCTTTGCAATTATTATATTTATGATAGAAATATTATTAATAATATAATTTTTTCGAAATATTAAAAATTAGTGGAGATATTATATAATTTAATGAGAGTATATTTTAGATGTAAATGTAATGTATAAATATAATTAATTGTAAAAAATTGTTTATTATCCGTTCAACGAAAATCTTGAACTCCTGTGAAATAAATGGCCCTAGAGGATTTCTCCTTGTTCGTTTCGCTCTTGTCTTACGTCATGAATGAGACAAAGGAGGCCACCGCCATGGCAGACACCTTTCAAGGTGTTTGTTTTCTAATACTGCCAAACAAATAGCTTTTAAAGCCTCATGTCTATTTTTCAAGTGGAATTCAAGAGAATGTAAATTAATAGGAGCGAGAACGTACTTGAATGCATAGTTGAAATCTGGTCGATGAGATTAGATCTTCCAAGTTTAGATGT